GATCAGGTAGCTAACAATAAATTAACCATGGTTTTAATAGATCACCTTTGGCGCGGTAATGCGAATCGGAGTTCATGATCCGATTCGTGAACAGATAATTCTTTTGAGTCAATCTTTTAAATGAATCATTTATTTTGTTTAAAGGGGTCATATGATGCGATTTCAAGTTTTCCTTTCTCTTTGGAGTGTTACAAGCTGATTGTGCATAGATAAGATCCCTGACTCAAGCATGCCGTTTTAGCTTGTTTTTCGATATGTCATCTATGAGCTCTTTCATCGTGAGTCATGTTTTTCACAGGATTTGTGACCGAGCAAGCTTGTAACGTCCGGAAATCACAACATACAGTATGGAGCTGTAATCATAACTGTGTACGAAAACGATTACAAGTGCTCGCTGTTTTACCTCCACTTGTGTTCATTTCTGTTGGAAACTGCAGTGATGTGTACTTATTGGTACGTATTTCGCGTCTTGCGAAAAAGTTCCCACAGGTACGTTTTCGTCATGAGATCAGGTAGCTAACAATAAATTAACCATGGTTTTGCTACACTAACCATAGTTTAACCATGGTATTTGTAGTTAAACTGTGGTTATACAAATGGAAAAAACATGGTTACTATAATAAAACCACAGTTAATTTACTTGAGGGGAATATTAGCCTTGCTAATGCTATGCTCTGCCGGTTGAACTACAACAACTAGCTCGCTAGCCGTTTTTAGTCAACAAGCTGAGGGAACTAAAATTTCATTTGTCTGAAGATTCTACAACTTGAGCCAACAAACATTTTATTGTTGTCTTGGGTTACAAGAGGATGTGCATGTCCATGTGGCAAAAGCTAGCATTAGCAGGTCAATATGGCTAAGGTAGGAGGATATAAGACTTCAGTCAGTAGTTAAATGTTAAAACACCCCCTTATTTCATTGTTTTCTATACATACAGTTTCTAATAGACCTTTCTGGCCACAAGGCACATCTTTAAAGTACTGTTTAATATTTAAAAAAAAGTAATTTCCGTGTCTTCTGGTGTAAGTTATGTGAAAGGACCGTTGCCATTCAGCTTCCCATTTCATTATTGGACACTTGAAAGTCTTTCCTGCTTAGCTTTTTATATATATTTTCCCACTAACACAAGCCATTAAATGAAACTAACACCTTCGGTATTTTACAGTCCACATAAGGGGTCCTACGCAGTTTTTGTTTTGAACGATATATTCTTCTGTATGTACATATGATTGCACTGTTGACAGAACAGCTTTGCTTTATATTTTTACTAAATGTCAAGAGTATTTATTTAGCTAGAGATATTTTGGTGCTATTTTGGATGGAAATGAAAAACTTAACAGTGAATGAAAAATGTGTTCCCTTTTAAAAGAAGTGATTATTATTTTTGTCAGATTTTTGGTTAGAAATGCAATCCGCTGTGTTTGTTTGGGGACATTTTGATGTCTTGAGTACTGTACTGTTACACCTGAGCATGGACGTACACAACACAAATTGTTAAAACTCTTTCCCGAGAAGTTTGATCTTGTTCAGTGTCACATGCATTTTTACATTTAACAATCAGGTTCAACTCTTACTGTGTATTAAATGTCTAATAAATTGTGATATTTGTATAACATGCAATAATACCTTGGTAAAAAAGAATATATAAACTCACCGAACTGAGACATCTAACAAAGTTTCACATCATTTATTGTTTTTACACTTCTTTTATACACTATTTTTGAGTTTTAGGAGACACTCTGTACTAAGCACACTCACTATTGGTGCATTCTTCCCATTAATAAAACCCATATATTCATTTTTTTTTTTTAAACATAACTCCATATAATTCAAACTAACTCTTTTGACAAAGAGAACATCAGCATTCCAAATAATAAAAAAACACTTTTTGTGGACTTTATAAAAATATATAATAAATACACTACCGTTAAAAAGTAAGTGGTACGATTTTTTTAAAATTTTTTTTGCTGAAATCACTTTTCTTTTTTTTTTGTGGAACTGATTTCTTTTAGGATTCTTGGATAAATAAAAAGTCTCTTTCCCGAGAAGTTTGATCTTGTTCAGTGTCACATGCATTTTTACATTTAACAATCAGGTTCAACTCTTACTGTGTATTAAATGTCTAATAAATTGTGATATTTGTATAACATGCAATAATACCTTGGTAAAAAAGAATATATAAACTCACCGAACTGAGACATCTAACAAAGTTTCACATCATTTATTGTTTTTACACTTCTTTTATACACTATTTTTGAGTTTCAGGAGACACTCTGTACTAAGCACACTCACTATTGGTGCATTCTTCCCATTAATAAAACCCATATATTCATTTTTTTTAAAAACATAACTCCATATAATTCAAACTAACTCTTTTGACAAAGAGAACATCAGCATTCCAAATAATAAAAAAACACTTTTTGTGGACTTTATAAAAATATATAATAAATACACTACCGTTAAAAAGTTTGGGGTAAGATTTTTTTTTATTTTTTTTGCTGAAATCACTTTTCTTTTTTTTGTGGAACTGATTTCTTTTAGGATTCTTGGATAAATAAAAAGTAAAAAATACCAGCATATTTGGAATAGAAATATTTTGTAGCATTGTAAGTATCTGTACTGTCAATTTTGCTCAATTTAATGCATTCTTGCTAAATAAAAGTATTAATTTCTTTAAAAATTGAATTGTAGTGTATTGTATATGTTATGCATCTAAATACAGTAAGTCTCTCTTACACAGTGTATAATACATATAAATATTACATGTATGTGAATAATGCATGTAAACTGAATATAATTATATATTTGTAATTATTAATCTGAATTAGTACAAATTTTACTTTTACTACATATTTTATAATTTACCATATAAACAGAGGAACCAATCTTGTCTTGGAACTAATGTAAAACCAGCTACAACATACCAGAATAAGAATGATTTGTTTATTTACAAAAATATACTTTCTTAAGAAACAAAGTATAAGTTACTTAGGAAGAAATGTTTGGAAATAAGTGCTATAAGCTTGAGAGATTTTACATACATTTAGTAAGACTTAATGGCACACTGACAAAATCATCTTACTGTACATTTAACATACTGCAAAAGGCACTCTCATCCACAACCATGTCATGAATGTTCACTTCATTAATGTTCAACTTTTAACGTTCATACAAAGAGATCAGCATTTAGAGCCAAAACAAATGTAAATACAAACTTTTTGCAATAAGAGATACAGGGAACGGCCTTTGAAACCTCCCACTGATGACATCATAAAAGCTATTCAATGACACAACCAGTCAGCAGTGGAGGAATCTTCTCCGCTAGCTCTGAACGGTTGTTAGTGTTGTCCTTAATGTAAACAATCTAGTAGTATTATCATTATGTCACGTTCTCCAATTGTTCAGCTGTTAAACCTCTGAAGCCGTCGCCAGCGGATCTCTTCAGGAGTTGGGTTTGAGTGGGCATAAGAGCCACGTGATGATCTAGCCTGCGTAAAACCACCTACAAAACCAAATAACAATGTTACACATTGTAACTGCTAGTACAATAAAGAATTAAAGGATAGTTCACCTAAGATTTACTCACTCTCAGGCCAGCAAAGATGTAGATCAGTTTCTTTCTTTATCGGAACAGATTTGGAGAAATTTAGCATTACATCACTTGCTCACCAATGGATCCTCTGCAGTGAATGGGTGCCGTCAGAATGAGAGTCCAAACGGCTGATAAAAACATCACAATAATCCACAAGTAACCCACATGACTCCAGTCCATCAATTAACATCTTGTGAAGCGAAAAGCTGTGTGTTTGTAAGAAAGTCGTGTGGATTACTTGTGAATTATCATGATGTTTTTATCAGCTGTTTGGACTCTCATTCTGACGGCACCCATTCACTGATGTGTTCCCTTTTAAAAGAAGTGATTATTATTTTTGTCAGATTTTTGGTTAGAAATGCAATCCGCTGTGTTTGTTTGGGGACATTTTGATGTCTTGAGTACTGTACTGTTACACCTGAGCATGGACGTACACAACACAAATTGTTAAAACTCTTTCCCGAGAAGTTTGATCTTGTTCAGTGTCACATGCATTTTTACATTTAACAATCAGGTTCAACTCTTACTGTGTATTAAATGTCTAATAAATTGTGATATTTGTATAACATGCAATAATACCTTGGTAAAAAAGAATATATAAACTCACCGAACTGAGACATCTAACAAAGTTTCACATCATTTATTGTTTTTACACTTCTTTTATACACTATTTTTGAGTTTTAGGAGACACTCTGTACTAAGCACACTCACTATTGGTGCATTCTTCCCATTAATAAAACCCATATATTCATTTTTTTTAAAAACATAACTCCATATAATTCAAACTAACTCTTTTGACAAAGAGAACATCAGCATTCCAAATAATAAAAAAACACTTTTTGTGGACTTTATAAAAAATATATAATAAATACACTACCGTTAAAAAGTTTGGGGTACGATTTTTTTAAAATTTTTTTTGCTGAAATCACTTTTCTTTTTTTTTTGTGGAACTGATTTCTTTTAGGATTCTTGGATAAATAAAAAGTTAAAAATACCAGCATATTTGGAATAGAAATATTTTGTAGCATTGTAAGTATCTGTACTGTCAATTTTGCTCAATTTAATGCATTCTTGCTAAATAAAAGTATTAATTTCTTTAAAAATTGAATTGTAGTGTATTGTATATGTTATGCATCTAAATACAGTAAGTCTCTCTTACACAGTGTATAATACATATAAATATTACATGTATGTGAATAATGCATGTAAACTGAATATAATTATATATTTGTAATTATTAATCTGAATTAGTACAAATTTTACTTTTACTACATATTTTATAATTTACCATATAAACAGAGGAACCAATCTTGTCTTGGAACTAATGTAAAACCAGCTACAACATACCAGAATAAGAATGATTTGTTTATTTACAAAAATATACTTTCTTAAGAAACAAAGTATAAGTTACTTAGGAAGAAATGTTTGGAAATAAGTGCTATAAGCTTGAGAGATTTTACATACATTTAGTAAGACTTAATGGCACACTGACAAAATCATCTTACTGTACATTTAACATACTGCAAAAGGCACTCTCATCCACAACCATGTCATGAATGTTCACTTCATTAATGTTCAACTTTTAACGTTCATACAAAGAGATCAGCATTTAGAGCCAAAACAAATGTAAATACAAACTTTTTGCAATAAGAAATACAGGGAACGGCCTTTGAAACCTCCCACTGATGACATCATAAAAGCTATTCAATGACACAACCAGTCAGCAGTGGAGGAATCTTCTCCGCTAGCTCTGAACGGTTGTTAGTGTTGTCCTTAATGTAAACAATCTAGTAGTATTATCATTATGTCACGTTCTCCAATTGTTCAGCTGTTAAACCTCTGAAGCCGTCGCCAGCGGATCTCTTCAGGAGTTGGGTTTGAGTGGGCATAAGAGCCACGTGATGATCTAGCCTGCGTAAAACCACCTACAAAACCAAATAACAATGTTACACATTGTAACTGCTAGTACAATAAAGAATTAAAGGATAGTTCACCTAAGATTTACTCACTCTCAGGCCAGCAAAGATGTAGATCAGTTTCTTTCTTTATCGGAACAGATTTGGAGAAATTTAGCATTACATCACTTGCTCACCAATGAGTGAGCAAGTGATGTAATGCTAATATAATAATGCTTTCTCCAAATCTGTTCCCATGAAGAAACAAACTCATCTACATCCTTGATAGCCTGAGGATGAATACATAGTTTTGGGTGAACTATTTCTTTAATCAGTCTGCTTCTGCAGCTTTAGTGTTAGCAAAAACACATGGGAATAAATTAGTTGTGTTGGAATGTGGTCAGCAACTTCTTTTCTAATAATCTGTATGTCAAGGAATGTTGTTCATATTTTATGTACAAATATTTGTTGCCGTTTTGTTCTAGATATACAGGTGCATCTAAAAAAATTTGAATATCGTGAAAAAGTTTTTTTCCAATCATTTCAAAAAGTGAAACTTATATATTCTAGATTCATTACATGTAAAGTAAAACATTTCAAAAATTTTTTTTGTTTTAATTTTAATGATTAGAGCTTACAGCTCATGAAAGTCAAAAATCCAGTATCTCAAAATACTAGAATATTGTATATTCTAGTATTTCTATAGAATACTAGCATGGAAGCGATCAGCCTGTGGCACTGCTGAGGCACTATTGAAGCACAGGTTTCTTTAATAGCGGCCTTCAGCTCGTCTGTATTGTTAGATCGACTGTTTCTCATCTTTCTCTTGAAAATATACCATAGATTCCATATTTTCTGTGACTTACCCTCTTTGTGGAGGGTGTCAATGATCGTCTTCTGGAGCACTGCCAAGTAAGCAGTCTTCCCCATTATTGTGGTTTCAAAGAACAAGAGATAGCCGGAATTTTTTGTTCTGTAGGGATTGTCATTTAATGAAACTCAAATGTAAATATTCTAATATTTTGAGATACTGGCTTTTTTACTTTCATGAGCTGTAAGCTCTAATCATCAAAATTAAAACAAAAAAAAAACTTTTGAAATATTTTACTTTACATCATGTAACGAATCTAGAATATATGAAAGTTTCACTTTTTGAAATAAGTTACAAAAAAATATATATATATTTTTTACGATTTTTTTTAGATGCACCTGTATAACAAAATAAAACAAAAATAGAATACTTTTCTTTACCAAATGGTTTATGACAAAGCATTTTTAAAAGTATCAACTGGTCCTTTTGACCACCTGACCTCTGTCATTCAGGCTGGCCCTGACAGCTGTCTCATACTGCTCATCTTCTGACAGACCTGCTGTATAGGGATGCTGGGGCGGTGCAGAGGGTGTGCGTGTGTCATACTGCTGCCTGTAGGGGGCGCCAGAGTTTGGTGGATACGGCGCGCCATATCCACTGTATCCTGTAAACACAGACATACAAATAATGGATCCTGAGGATGTCAACAGAGCGATGCTACAATGGTCTAGTTAACAATCCCTAAATCATTTCATCTTTATTGGTTCTCAAAATCAGAGCCATTTCTAGGATGGTAGTGATTCAAATCAGATTGCAGTCTTTATAACTAAATCAGTATTTCCCTATAAAACCAAAAGAGCTTTTACCTGATGGATTGTAGTATGTTTGTTGCCCTCCATATTGCCCATTAGATGTCACAAAGCCTGAAATGACACAGTCATGGCTGTTTATGTGGCTTGATACATTAATTGCTGAATTAAAAGTTTGTGGTTGGTAAACATTTTTATGTTTTTGAAAATCTCTTATGTTCCTATTTTAATTTGATAAAGTAATTTATTCCTGTGATGCAAAGCTGAATTTTCAGCATAATTACTCCAGTCTTCAGTGTCACATGATCCTTCAGAAATTATTTTAAAATGCTGATTTGCTGCTTTAGAAACATTTCTTATTACTATCAATGTTGAAAACAGTTTTTGTGAACACTGTGACTCTGAAAGTTCAAAAGAACATTTATTTCAAATAAAAATATTTTGTAACATAAATATCGTTACTGTTACTTTTGATCAATTTAATGCATCCATGCTGAATAAAAGCATTAATTTCCTTAAAAAAATATGCTGAACTGAAACTATTGAATGGTAGTGTATACACATATTAACAGTGAAGATGTCAAACACACTTAAAAAAAAAAATACTGAAAATGTTGTTACCTGCACAGGTTTTCATCAGGCTCTTTAGTGGTCCAGTTGTGTAGAGCAGACCGACCAGGATCCCAGCCAGGTGTCCGACAAATGACGTCCTGCAAAGACATGTGTGTGAATGTGTGCTAATACAAGCTGTGATTCAGATACAAATCAAAACATGTTTATAAAAAAAACCCTTTACTCTAGCATCTTTGAAACGTGTTTCACGCCTACCCAGGGTTCATGATATGGATGAGGACCAACTCTACCCAGCAGGCGTAGCGATTGGCTACAGGCAGCCCCATGATGTATGTGGCCCCTCCTGGATGATAATGATTATTCACCACCTTCAGCCCAAACAGAACACCTGAAACAAATCACAAACAGCTTATTTCTTAGTAGAAAAATATAACAATGACACATATGAATCAATTGATTTCTGTTGTCTACTCCTTTTTATTTTTTCCACCAACTGCATGTACTGTACAGTATTAATGTTTTAGTAAAAGATACATCTACACTACCGTTTAAAAGTAAGATTTTTTTTAAGAAATGTTTTTTTTATTGAGAAAGGATATATTAAATGGATCAAAAGTGACAGTAAAGACATTTATAATGTTACAAAAATGCCTATTTCAAATAAAAGCTGTTCTTTCATCAAAGAATCAACATTTTGATAATATCAAAGTAATCATGTGACACTGAAATGGCTGCTGAAAATTCAGCTTTGCTATCACAGGAATAAATGACATTTAAACATATAATAAAATAGAAAACATTTCATTCAAAGCATGTGCAATCCATCCTGATTTAACACACCTGAGAAGCCCACTGCACACTGTAAACTATATGAGGAGTCTTCTGTCATGTGTGTCAGTCCCGTCTCCAGGAGCAGGTAGACCAATCCGGTGAGCAGAGAGAAGACAGAGAGCAGGTACGCAAACCAGGCGCCTCCCAGTTTCCTTTCCAGTTTGATGCCCTTCCAAAGGAGCGAGGCCATGTTGAAGTACAAGTGCATGTCGTCAGCATGGTGAAACGGCGACAGCAGCAGACGACTCCAGTCTCTGTACCAGTACGCCTCTCGAACACTCAAACACGTCTGCAATACCAAAAAAAAAAACGTTAAGTACTGTCTACAACTTGCCTTTATTGTAACATGTGCAACTTATCACTTTTTCAATATATTTTCTAATAAAATATTGCAAAACACAGTTTAATGGTAGGCAAATTTTCTTCATTGACTCACTACTGGCAGATGTGACCCCTTTTTAGTGTTGAAGTTATAATAACATGTACCTGTAGGAGGGGTTTGACCGGAAACAGGAACAAATAGACGTTCAGGCCGAGTGTTGCAAGAGTGACAGGTGGGATGTTGTCGATTCCCAGCTGGAAAACCTGAGAGGCCAGCAGGAGCAGGCCGAGATTGGATCCCCTCTGTCTGTTACGCATCTGAAACACATATAGCGGATTATTAGCATCTAAAATACACAACCACATCCTCAAACACAGAGAACCAGTGTTTTATCTGTATAAAAATGTGTTTATATTTCTTGACAGACCGCTGCTTACTCGTAAATATTTTAGAATCAGTTAATAATTATTTCAGTTTCAGTTCATACACACCTGTCTACAGAGCATGTAAAATCATTAAGCATGATTATTTGGCATCTGGCTAGCCAATTGCAGGTAGTATTGGGGGAGGGGCATTTCCATTCTTGAGAGCACCTGATTGGACTAAAACTGTAGTGCAGGATGAGTCATTAAAATTTTTTGTCTATTTCCAATTGAATTTTAAAAGTGTAGGCTATACTGTATTTGCAATTTGTCGACAAATATACTGGCATATAGTTAGCATCAAAGCTAACACACACAGACGTAATCCCTTCTTTTTTTATTCATACGATAATTAAATGTAGTTGTGTATTTCGTGTAAATTCATAACTGTCAAAATTGGGTATTATATCATAACAAGAATTGTTTTGTTTCATTTGGTAATAAAACTATCATGCATGGATGGTGGTACTCACACAAGAACCTTTAAAGGGGTCATATGATGCTTTTTTAAAGATCATTATTTTGTGTATTTGGTGTAACAGAATATGTTGACATGCTTTAATGTTCAAAAAACACATTATTTTTCAAATACTGTACATTATTGTAAATATTATCAAAACGAGAAATCTATCGCTTTCTTTAAATAAAGAATCTATTATCCGTACTAAACTGTCATGCATGCACTCTATATGCCATAAAAGCTCTATTATTACTTTGAAGTATAAATGTACTAGACTACATAACCAATTACTGTGTAGGATCAAATCACTTACCATAATATCTGAGTGAAAGCTCCTGTTTGGAAGGCTTGAGGTTCCTACGCTTGGTTTGGATGTTGTGTTGTGAGTAAAAGGAGCGTTCCCGAGTCCTAATATTAGCTATCAACAGTGGGACACGTCAGATTTTACTCGCATTTCACCATCTTTCGCTAGGTGGTAAACACGGAAGTGATGCAACGAGGGTTTCTGGTCGCGTGACTTCTTCTTCTTCTTTTGGAGTTTTATGGCGGTTGTCATACAAACGATAGGTGCCTGGTCGCGTGACCTCATCGCTCCTGACGTTTGTAGTTTTTTCTAGAAGTGAACCGTCTGAGCTGAAAGTTTTACTGGTTCATTCCACGAATACGGTACACGTTCGTGCCCTGTGACTAATGCATAAGAGACCAATCAAATCCTATGTTTTGTTGTGAAACCTATAAGATATGTTTGATAAACTATTATTTAACATAAAATTAACCTAGAATGTAGCGTATAGCTATTTTAACACATCAACGGCCTATTCCAAAGCTATGTATGGCAAGGAAAATGATCAAGATAATGTTTTAGCTTAGGCTACGTATAAAACAATAAACACTATTTTGTACTGTATTCACAGAAATTGACTATTACGTTTAATTTTCTGTTATTACAGCTGTACTCAAGCAGTAGGCTAATGAATACAGCAATTTATACAAGAAAGTCAATTACAAAAAAAATTAATAATTGCATGAACGAAATACAAGACACAAAGATAAACGTATCGTTAGCTGTTTTCATGCGATGAAACGTATTTTGCCTGCAGATGGCAGTATTGCTTAATGAATACAGAGAGGTACAGCAGTGGCAGACTTTCATTGTGCATTTGCAGTTTTCGAATACTTTCAGTTAGATGTGAAAATGTCTTTACAGTGCAAATAAACTGATTTTATTCTTTATTAACAAAGTGACTGCGCTTCATTTAAATTACTTTGTAAGTGAACATTTAGTTATATACAGTTCAGTATGAACTGAATTACAAATACTGACTACAATTTTCCTTTAACCCATACTCTTTGTACAAAATCAATTTTCAAAGATATTGTAATGTTATTGTCAGAGATATCATAGGGAATAAAACACAAGGAGTGTGTACAGTACTATTATTGGATTTTGGATTCTACTAAAGTTTGGAAACAATCTTAAAGGTTCTTAATTAAATCGAGGAAGAATCCTACTATGTAGGAAATGCCTATGTGCCTATATATGAATTTCCTATGTACATTTATTTATTTATTTATTTATTTGAAATTCGTTTTATTAATTAGATTATTTTTAATTATTCAAGGTAGAAATAAATCTTTAAGGTAACAATTGCATGTTACCACATTTTGCAGTGTAGAATTCGTTTCAAATGATTATTGATGTTAATGTTATATTTTCTTGTTTTCTATTGAAAATAGGCTACATTTTTCAGGGTGGACAATTCTGTGATCCGGACTTTTCATTACACTGCATGTTACACACATTATGTAACTATAATTAATCCCCATAGTAATAATAACAATAACAATGTGTACTTCAAAGCACCTCCGCAATTCAACTGCACCTGCAGTACATATTGTTCATTAGTCACTATATTTATCAATGTAAATAGACAGTAAGATGAACACTGTAAACTAAAGTATGACCGACTTTCTATTTTACAATTGTGTGTTTATAAATAACTGCAGCGTATAGTTACATAGTGTCTTTTCATCACCGCATCTAAATAAAACTTTATAGTGGTGTAGCTCGTGGATGAATCATTTGAATGAATCTTTTAAATAAACGAATCCCTCTCTTACTGGCTTCACGACGCATCCTGCAGAAAAGTTCACTGAAACAATCAGTAAAAATGAATCTTTTTAGTGAACTAATTCAAAAGATTCGAGTCACTGGGAAGAATCAAAAACCCCACCACTATGTTTGAATCACACGTCTCTCACAGCCCCCTGTGATGATTGACATTAGATCCCTCCAATCAAATGAGGACAGTTCCAAAAGGGGCGGGATTCTTAGTTGTATCGTAACAAGCTAGGCTGCAACCCCCCAGTCTCAACTCCTCCTTACAAACATACACGAGCGGTGCCTTGTTTTGGTCTGTTACGGCGTCGCAAAAAAGAAAACTCAGCGAGTTTTAGAGGAACTTATGCAGCAATTCAAACGGATTTGGTACGTTTCCGTTGTAAATAACGGTCAGATGCATACTTTGCGTCGGTGCTTTATGTAATTGCACTTTTGGGATTTTTGCAGACAGCGCTTTGATCTCCGGGGTAAATGGGGTCGTGCGCTGCTGACTGCGCTTGTTTTGATAATGCATTCGGATATCCGGACTGAAAAGGACACTGTTTTGTAATTTTTACTGTTTTGTGTTTTTTACATCATAAACTTGGTGCTTTCCGGTACTTGCAATATTTTTGAGGATGTCCGATGGATTATTTAAACTTAGTTGTAACAATGTAATGCTGCTGAAAAAAAATCCAAGTGTACTACTGTATCGATGAACTGTTATAATTGAAGCTCTTGAAGGAGCGCACAAAAGTGACCTGTTTAAGTGCTATTTTTCTATTTTTACTCAATGGAACCTTTTTTGTCTCAGCGCTCACATTTGGCGAAGAGTACATGCATAAGGCTTTGACTTTCGATCCTGCAGTTTTTCTATAATTTATTTTTTATACCATGGCAAGCCCCACCACGGAGCAAGGATGTTTTTCGGACGTGAAGAAGGTGGGTTATTTAAGGAAACCCAAAAGCATGCACAAAAGGTTTTTTGTACTGAGGGCGGCGAGCGCCTCCGGACCGTCCCGACTGGAGTACTATGAAAACGAGAAGAAGTGGAGACACAAGTCTGGAGCACCGAAACGGTCCATTCCGCTGGAGAGCTGCTTTAACATCAACAAAAGAGCGGATTCTAAAAACAAACATCTCGTCGCGCTTTATACCAAGGATGAGTACTTCGCCATCGCTGCTGACAGCGAGGTAGAGCAGGAGTCGTGGTATCAAGCCCTGGTTGATCTTCATAACAGAGGTAAGGTCCACGAAACTGCCGCGGGCCGCGGAGTTGGCGAGGATAAGTACGGCGAAGCCACGCCGGGACCTGCCTTCAAAGAGGTTTGGCAGGTTATTTTGAAAGCAAAGGGTCTGGGTCACGCAAAGAACTTGATTGGTGTTTACAGATTATGCCTCA